GGACAGTGATTCGATTCAGATTCAAATCACTGTCCCAATTCAATTTGACTGAACTGGATCCAAAGATTCGGCGCCGCTTTGGAGATTCAGCCATAGACTAAACAGGCAGCAGTTCTCACCATGCTGGACACAGCTGCCTCCAGCTGGTAAGTCTGTTGTGGTGGGTGGAGGGGGGAGGGAAGAAACGTGGGGGAGGGAGGGATTGGCACCGAGACAAGATGCCCAGCTGGGGCAGAGGGGTGCAGGACTCGGGGAGTGGGGCAGCGGGGCATGGGATGTGGGCGCAGCAGCAGCAGCGCTGGGAGGAGGGGCTCTGACCTACTTCTACTAGTCCCCTTCCGCCCGGAGCGAGCCATGCCTGCATCGTGCCCCCCCCCCCCCCTTCTGCAGCAGTGCTGGGAGCAGGGGCTCTGCCCTGCTGCCACTTGCACCCTTCCTCCCAGAGCAAGCCATACCTCTTTGCAGCCCCCCCAACCCTGCCCCGGCTGGGTAAGCAGCAGCAGGATAGAAACCCCACTCCCAGCACTGCCGTGCCCACATCCCGCACCTCCCCCACTCCTTCTGGGCTAGTAGCAGCAGTGCCCACACCCTGCAGCCCCCCCACTCCATCTGGACAAACACTGGCAACACCTGCATCCCACGCCCCTCTGCCCCAGCTGAGCAAATAGCAAGCCATGCTCTGCTGCCGCTTGCCTAGCCGGGGTGGTGGGGTGCAGGATGCAGGTGCAGCAGTGCTGAGAGCAGGGGCTCTGCCCTGCTGCCACTTGCCCAACCCAAACGGGGAGGGGCGTGCAATGCAGGCGTGGCTTGCTCCAGGTGGAAGGGGGCAAGTGGCAGCAGGGCAGAGCCCCCGCTTCCAGTGCTGCCACACCTGCATCCCACACACCCCCCACACACACCCCACTGGGTGTTTGTTCACATTAGAACACCCAGTTAAAATTTATGTTCCCAGGTTTCTGCGTGGGGGTTCAAAAATAATATAGAAGAACTTGAGAAGGTACAAAGAAAGGCAACATGGATGATTAGTGGTATCAAGATGTAACAAAACTAGCTGTGCCAGGTGCTAGCCTGCCTGAACTCCAACTCTCCCATACCACCTGCCGTGGAAGCTCTTCCATGTCTCCTCTGCCATGCCTTGATGAAAGAACTATTTCTATAGGAGGTATCCCGAGCCTTGGAGTAGTACTGTCCTTTTGGGTTACCTTTGCTCCATCCTTTGTATTTATCTAGACCTCAGCCCTCCTGGTCTTGGCCTACTTCCTCTGGCTGCTACCTTCAGCCATAGGCCTCTTTTCTGGGCTCAACTTCTAAGCAGCAGCTGCATGGCTAAGGCTTGAAGCCCCACAGTCTAGGTTCCAGACTCCCGGGCCCCCAAGAACATGAGCTTAGATCTTCCCCCTTCTGGGTCCACTCAAGGAAAAAAAAACTGCCCCTAGAGTTTCCCTTCCTGCACCTGCAGGCATTGCCCTGACCCACCTGGGAGCTCTGCCTCCTTACCAGCCAGGGCTAGTGTGTCCCCTTTAGAGGACTAGGGTGCCCCTCCCTTTCCAGCTAGCAAGACTTACTGTGCAGCCCAAGCACAGGGCTTGCTCATTCCCTGCAGCCCTGCCAACTGTCTGCGCTTTCGCTGAAATCTTTTCTTAGTCCAACCCCCCTGGGACAATGTTACCAGCCACCACAGGAACCTTGCTTCTTCCCCATTTCACTGCTTGCCAGCCATGTCTTCTCCCTAATGGCCCTTGCAGCTGTCTTTTCCTCCCTTGAGCGCTGAACCCTTTGAGCCACAAAAGCCCAACTTTTAAAATGCTGTTGCCAGTCCTGGTTTCCATATGAGGAGAAACTAAAGAGGCTGGGCCTATTCAGTTTAGAAAAGAGACACTTGAGAGGGGACATGGTCAGGATTTACAAACTACTAGATGAAAAGAAAGTAAATAGGGATTTATTATTTACACTCTCTCAATACAAGAACTAGGGGTCACAAAATGAAACTTGCTAAAGTCAATAAACATATAGGGTGTGTTTCATAAAATGAAAAAAAGGATTATTGAGTTGCAGCTGAACAAGGAGGATTTTCTGTTTGTTGAACTCTGGGATAAACAATATAATAAGAGATTTCTTTATGTAAGATGAAATGAGCATAGTGACATTTAAATAAAGATATAATATGCTGTTTTCATTTTAGGTTTATATCACAGTGTCATGCCAAGAAATGCATCTGACAGATGAGATTTATGATCACATGTATATAGTTCATGAAGGTTTAATTAATGTTTTTTATTGATACACATCTTATGTTTTTATTGTTTTTCCCTGAATGTTCAAGGTAGCTCACCCTGCATGAGGAACTCTCCATCTGGGAAAGAATGAAGAATATGCAGAAATACTGACAACACAGCCAGAGTGACAGCTGCATACTTGCCACAGTAATCCATAATTCTTCTGCAAATACAGACAAAAAACAGGATTAATGTGACTTGCTTGCTTTATTGTCATTGCATACAGTATTGGCTACAGAGACAACTTAGAAGCGTGATTAGAAACTGCAAATACAGTGCATTGATGTTCTTTTTACAGCCTTTTGGAATAAGAATAATAATGAAGCAAAAGCAACAACAATAATATAGTATATGAATAATATATTAATATAATTTGAAGTATGATAACATAGCTAGAGCACATATAATATAAAATATATTATTGTCTGATATTTATAGTAGATTAAGGGAAGCCAGTAAATGACAATGGAAGAAAAAAAAAAGAAGCAAAAGCTACTGTCTGTGGCCCAACCAAGAAAAGAAACCTGTTCATGATTTTCAAGTAAAATAATGGTATAATTAGGCTGTACTCTCAGGCTGAAGTACAGATCCTCGCCCCTTCTCCAGTTCCTTTACAAAGGGCCAGATCATCCTAGAGGGACCCTAAAAACTCTGTGTCCAAGTGAGAAAGGGTTCCCCTAGTACCCTGTCACAAGTCCAGGCATAGGTGGCATTCTGGCAATGAGGTTTAGAGCATGTTGGGGAGGTGGGAGTGATGCAGTGCATAGATAGAGCACATATAGCAGAAACGTGAGGTAATGCGGCCCCATCCGGCAGCATAGGGATGTTTCCATCACTTCAAAAGCCCCCCCACGATGTCCACATTATACTGGAGATCTCTTCATCCACTCCATCCCTCCTCCATCCCCCTCTGTGTTCAAGAGTTGTCTGGACAAGCACCTCATTTGTGCTCGTTTGAGCCCAATTACCTCCGGTCCATGGCAGGGGACCAGACTTGATGATCGTACAGGTCCCTTCCAGTCCTACTATTCTATTATTCTTTTTTGAGCAACACAGGATCAGGAGGGCAGTTGAAAGCAGCCGTAGCCTGCTCTCCCTAGGCCGTGAGCTATGTTAGAAGTGTAGCACAGACTGTCCCTCCAAATGTGTTGCTTATCTTTTTTTTTTTTTTAAATAAAGCTTTCACAAAGGAAGAAAATGAAGCCTCTGTTCTCTTTCTATCCTAACTTCAAGACTGCTGTTCTAGTAAGAGTTATAAATGGAAGCAGCAAAAAACTTTTTTTTACTGCAGAGTTTCCTCGATCATCCTCCAAAGCATCTTGTCTGGCTACCATTATATTTTACATGGGCCAAGGTGGACCATGGCTTTAATCCAATACAGCAATTTCTATGTTCTTGTGACAAAATCCAGAAAAATGTTTTCTTGCTGGAAGTCAGACAAGATCAGAGTTGGGTCCACCTGAAATGTGTGAGCCTCACACATTTCTTCAAATATCAGGAGCATTGAACATTAGGTGAACTAATGATGAGAGTTAAAATTGGAACTCTGTTAATCAGAATTGTTGGTTCATAATTTAGAATATGGATCATTTTAGCCATTGTATATCAGTTAGTTCTTTTAAACCAGGAATGGGTAAAATATGGCCTTCAAGCTGGATCCAGTCTGCCAGGCCATTCTATTCAGCCCACAGGGCCCCTCCAAAGACTGATTATTACTGGCCCATGGCTGCCTCTCTAAAAGCTGGCAGAAGGCACTGGTTTTCAGAGGTCACACGCCATCAGACTGGGCAGGCTGTGTGTCTACACCTCCGTGGGGCTTGCGGCACTCCAGCTGGGAGCTCCACATGGAGGCACCAAGCATGACGTCGCACAACTCAACAGCTGATGAGTGAGGAGGGAAGCTCCTGCCTACAGTGCCAGGAGCCCCAAATGCAGGCACGGAGTCAGCCCAGCCTAGCCCAGTGGCATGAGCTCCCAGCTGTTGTGCCGGGAGCCCCATGGGTTGACACAGAGCAAGCCTGACTGGCCCAATGGCATGCAGCTCCCAGAAGGAGTGCCAGGAGGTGCCCATGGCAGCATAGAGCCCATCCAGCCCAATAGCACATGGACTGGGAGCCATGGGAACTCACACATCATTGGGCTGGCTGGGCTTGCTCCATGCCACATTGTGCAGCTCCCAGCACTGCAGCCAGGAGCATGCACCACCAGGCTGGGCCAGGCTGGCTGCATGCCTTCATATGGTGCTCCCAGCATTGCAGGTGGGAGCTGCACACAATTGGGCTGGACCGAGCTGGCTCTGTGCCTCCATATGCGGCTCCCTGCTGGACTCCCAGGATTCAGTCAGAGCCACACACCACCAAGGGGTTCTGCCTGCCATGGGCCATGAACATTCTGAGGGCCCACCGCCTGTTGTTGCTACTGCCACTGGTGCTGGAGGCTGTGCACCACCAGCGAGAGGCATGTGGTGGAGGGACCCACACCCATTCCCCCACACACACACCCCCACATATTCCCACATCCCCTACAGACCCCACAAATACCTGCACACACCCACCCCCTCCCCACAAAACTCATACCCATCCACGTCCTCTAACACCTCCCCACACCCACCCTGCCCCTTCACAAATTCCCACATACACACACACATCCCACACACAGCCTCCAACCACACCCCACACACAGTACACAAGAGTTGGGCTCTATTTTGAGCTATTATGGAATTGCCTCTATATACACCAGCAGCTCCCAAGCTGAGGATCGCAACCCCAAACGGGGTCACAACATCAGCAGATGAGGTTACGATAAACATGCCCCCTGAGATTTCTGTGCCAATGGCAGGTGCAGGGCTGCAGCCAGACCATCCCAGGTCTGGGCAGAAACCACCTCTGTGGCCCAACAGGTGGGTCCCATTATGGGAGTGAGTGCCAAAGCACCATGGCCACCAAGGTGAGGCATGGCAGCACTGGCGGCACACAGTTGTGCCCATGCTGCTCCTGGGTGAGCATGGGTTGCTTCAGCTTGGCAGCCATGGTGGCACAGCACTCCCTCCCTCCCTCCCATGCCAGGTCATACCCACTGGGCCATGGAGCCCCTTAGGGGAGGGCATCAGGGCAGGGACCTCCAAGCCTGCAGGAGGCAGCCCACATCCTCTTCCCCTATGGGCGCCACTCTGGCAGTGCTGCCCATGGGGGAGTGAATGGGTTGGGAAGCCAGGCTCTGCACTCTACTCTGGCCGCAGCAGCTGCCGCCTCCCACAGGGCTCAGGCACTGCTGGGGTGGGGGGTGCTTTGGGCCCTGGGACATCTGGGGGTGGGGGGCACCTGGGGTTGTAGGGGGCTGTGGGTTGGGAGTGAGGGGCTATGCTGAGGAAATGGGGTCTTAAAATGGGGTTATGCTGAGAAAAAAATTGGGAAGCACTGATATACACTATGCAAATGCACATAAATCAGGACACAGATGTTTTTTAAATAAAATTAAAATTAGTAGATGTTTGATTTTTAGCATATGATTTGTTTGTTTTCCCGTTCCAAGATGACAAACCGCCCCCTCCCAAAATGTGTACTTTTGGGGGGAAGGGGAGGGATTTCCAGTGCATAGGTCAGGGGTTAGGAGTGGGACTTCCAGTCCCAAGATAGCACTCAGGGGGCAGGGCATCTGTCAAAGGGCGGGGCTACCCTCACAGCCCTCATCAGCTCACCAAAAGTTAAGAGGCCCTTCAGCCAAAATAATTGCCTACCCCTGGCTTTAAACACAGTGCCTTTGGTATGAAGTCTATAATCTTTCTTCTCAAAGGTTATATTTTTGATTCCCTATTCTATTAAAAGACATTCATTCTATGTAAAGTTTTTTTTTGTTCCACACTCTCCAGAAAACAAGCTTTAACAGACATTTACATTTAAAAATAACATTCTCCACTGGATAAACCTAGCCTCTTTTTGAAAAGAATGGAAATAATTTATATCCTGTGATGAGATAATTGGGTCCATGGAGAAAAGCATTATATATAGGAGAGCTAAGTATTAAATTCCACATCCAGTGCAGTCTGTATAGAAAGTAAATACAGGTAGTGCTCTTTTGTCTAATAGGACTCAACCATGGCTCAACATAAGGATTTTATTTCAAGTCTCTTTATGACTGATGCACCAAATAAACTACAACAAAGGAAACTTAATTGCTATTGTAGATGATCCTGTCAGAGCATTTTCAATGGCTCTGAGGGCACATCTACATGTTGCTATATGACAACATTGCTACAGCGCCTACTTCCTTTTGGAGGTTCTAAAGCGTGGTACAGTAACTGCCCATACTGCGCTGTGCATGCCAAACATGGTTAGATTTTGCCACTACGTTGCCATAGAGGCATGCTATACCAGGGGAGTGCGCCACTATGGCAGCATAGCTGCCAAGCACATGTAGACCCACATGATCACCGCATCACAATAGTTTACTATATGGCAACATTGCACATTGTTACATCGCCACAAAGTGAAGTGTAAACACGCTCTTACATCCATAAACTGGGGAGTGCACAGCTACGGCAACATAGCTGCCAATCACATATAGACCCACGTGATCGCTATGTCACAGTAGCGTGCTGTATGGCAATGTTGTGCATCATTACATTGCTGTAGAATGACGTGTAGATCCACCCTCACATCCACAAACTAATCCACCATCATGCATTCACACCAAGAGTAAGTCTACAATGCTATCAGTGTCCAACAGCAATGTATCCCATACTGACCACAAAGAAGCATATACATATCCAAACTAGAACCATAGGTTTACAGGCCTGGAAGATGCCACCTGGACCATCAAGTTCAATTGTATGAAGCTACAGGAAACCTGTATTAGATATCAAGTCCACAAGAACATCCCATCAAGCCCTCCCTGCATGAGAACCACACAATGCCCTATAACAAACTTTGTGCTGTTAGTAAGAAAAAGACTTTAAAAGGCTGGCTAACTATCTAAGTATTTGTATAACTGTAATCCAAGTTATTCTTGAGAGGATTTTGTAGTCTGCATTAAATCCATACTGCTGCATCTACACCACTGGAACTAACCAACCTAGCTAATTTAAAGCTGGGGCAGGCATGTCTCCATGTAATGAAGACACTTTAGATTTCAGTATAAACATACACTAAGGCTCAGGTCTTGCAA